GTCTTGCTTGCAAATCTTAGCCTTTCAAATAAGAATATTATTTTCTCAACAGTAATTTATATCTCATGAAAGTTCTTATTCTCAAGAAAGAAGCAACGTACTTTTCAGAATATCATTTTCAATACAACAATAAAATTGAATACTTAGAATCTACTCGGCAAGCAAAATGTTAGCAATATTGACAGATTGACAGCAAATTTGATATCAATTAACTGTTAATCTGTCAAGAAACAGATTTTCTGCTTTCGAAACTATCTTGTAAAATATATCGATGCTCGCTTTCTACGACTTTTAGTAAACAAAAAGGCATATATTTAAAGAAATCAAGTTACTCTCTCTTTCTGACGTAATAATGCGAATCTCATATAAGTAATTTATGCGCGGCATTATGCACTCGCTTTCGATATCGCGCTGGAAACTCGTACGCGTCGCTCGATCATTCCGACTCGTTATGTGCAAATCGCGCGTTGTATTACGCAGGAGAGACAAATGCCGGATGCGAACGCCAGCGATTTACTTTTAATCGTAGATTTTCAACGCGAACGATTACGGCTTCGCACAGTGTGTACGTTGCAACGCGCTTATAAAATTTCAAATGCCCGCACGCGAGTGCAATGGTATTGGGGTCCAGAGGTGGGTGCATTGTGGGACAAGGTCGGTTCATCGTATCCGCGCAGACGGGCCACGGTAGGCTGGGCACCCCTTTACGACTAGCTGTTAAATTGTTCGAAGCTAAAAGTGCGGCCTGACAGGCGGCGGCGTTTCCTGTTCCATCTGCGCGCTGCGCGTCGAGACGAGCGATTCCCAAATGCAAATTGGCATGAGCGCGTTTACCCATTGCATTACTTAACCACTTTCATAAATTCGCCCAAGTATAGTCGCGTTTGAACCAGACTGAAATAAATAATATGCAACAAAAAGGAATGCAATTACATTTACATAAGAATTTTAAATGCTATTAAGAACGAATAGATTTCAATAAAAAAATCTTGCAATTTGTAGTTAGCAGTCTTCAAAAATTCCCGATCAAGCTAAATCGCTTTAAAAACCGGAATGCGAAATGAAATAAAAATCTTATCGGCTTCCTTTGAAACACGTCATTAATATAGGCAACAAATTTTTTGCGATATTCCGGGATAAATCCGGCGCAGCGTGAATGAAGGAAAATATTATCAATCTGTCGTCGAATATAAGCGCGAATTGCCGTGAGACACAAGAGTGCGTCTCACATAGAAAAGATCGTCGTGGAGGGAAGTGAGTCATTCACGATGAACCGATGACGATAGCACTGATGATATCATTCGTGCGAGTTTATTAAAATTTGGAAGAAAGGCGTGTTTCGTAGCTGCGTAGCAAGCATAGCGTGCCAAGATAACATGCGATTTGAAAGAGAGAAGAAAAGCTTAAAATAAAAAAGAACGCTTGGCAACAGAGTTTTTAAAAGGTCACGCTGTATCGTAGTATTTCTCAACTTTTTTTATGAATTTGTCATTCGTACTTTCAATATTAATTGAATACAAACTGCTTATATTTTTTTTAAATTTTTTACACGAGAATTACGCATCTTAAAAAATAAGCTTACATAAAAATTCTATTTTATGTATAGCGATATGCTAAACTGAAATCATCGTGTAAGGAGGAAACGCGAATGTTGGAGTGAGGAAAGACGAGCTGAAAAAAGGTGCATGACCGAGAGATTCACACATGTTCTCTTTCGTTATCCGGTAGAGTGCTTAATCTGACGTATGTATATGTGTAATGCGTCGACGCGCGTATATACATATGTGGCAAGAGCCTGAGAGAACTCGGAACACGTGTTCAGTTAATTGTAACATTATATCTGTAAGAAGTAACTTTACTTAACTCGTGAGGCTCCCTCTTCGAGGCTCCTTTTCGATAATCTCTGATAAGCAAGCGAGTTTAGTCTCAAATAATGCCTTAAGTGCATCCGTAACAAATCGCTTAATGTGGAAACGCAAAGTGGAAGATAAAAAACAATAATGTACGTAATTGTCGTTTAAAAAATTCAATAGTATCGCTAAATTATATTACCGTAATAATTACGATTGTTGAAATGATGATTAAGATAAAAGCAGTTTCCGAAACATTATTTTTGAGTTTAATTTTTTAAATATTCTATATACAGTTTATTAAAGGCAAATTTAATTTTAAAAGCTCACGCTGTATCGTAGTATTTCTCAACTTTTTTAATGAATTTGTCATTCGTACTTTCAATATTAATTGAATACAATCTGCTTATATTATTTTTTTATTTTTTACGCGAGAATTACGCATCTTAAAAAATAAGCTTACATAAAAATTCTATTTTATGTATAGCGATATGCTAAATTGAAATCATCGTGTCATATTTTACAACATATTTTACAATATTCAATCATTATTGTTCACACATTTAGCGAAATATTACGAAAAATGAATAAACAATAACTGTGTGGTGCATATCAAGAAAATGGAGAGACAAAAATAATGTACAAATTAAAATTGGTCCACATTGAAATAAAATAATAAGCAAAAGAGATAAAATTATAGCGTAAGGGATAAAAGAGAAGGCGGGCAGACGAACGAATGAATTTCACATGTGAGATGTTCTGCTTTGCCTACTCAGTACTTCCTCTGAAGCATTGCTGACACATACATGTCGCTATCGCGAAATACGAAATTCTCCTGATGAGATGTTATTCCTCTCACGTCATTGGCTTTCTGCATATTGTGCTTATTTCTTTTGATTAATTTCAAGAACCGCAAATAACCTCAGGCGGAAAATAAATATGCCTTTACAAGTAAGCAACTTTCTGAGCAATAAAATACAATGCGAGATGCTTAAAAGAAGATATCAATAGCTCGAAGTAATGAAAGCTCGTAACGTAAACCTAAACGTGATTTATAGTGATTTATATTTTGTACAACAAATTGTACACACACAATCCTGTAGATTTAATGCATATAATTCTGTTCCTAAGAACAACTTATTCAAACATGTAACATAACATTGTTAACGACAAGCGGTGTGACACTTTGTAGTATTCAAATAGATTTAAAATATATTGATATCCTGCTCCTTTTAATGTGTATCAATCTTATATTTATTAATATTTCCCCATCTGTAGATTAAACTCATAATTTTTCTTTGCATGTTTGAATAACACTTTTTCACAGAAAAAAGGATCGAAGAATCGCAAGCAAATTGTTTATCATTACATATATTACGCGTAATGTAAACAAAAAAAAAAAGAATCCTGAGTACATGAGAAAAGAGAAATGCAGATTCGTATCGCAACTCTGAGATTTCGTCATCGCAATACACAACGGAATGTACAAGTCACGGGCGTATCTCTCGTAGCATACTGATATGAGGAGATGACACGCAGCAGGATGCCGGGCTCTAAGTTAGCATATCATCTTTTAAAAATCGAAAGTTACATCAACACTATTCTACTTGCATCCGCATAATTCCTGTTTTATAATTTTTGCAAATTTATTTCATAACAAACAATAAGAAAAGCCATTCTATTAACGGAAAACAAAAACCTCAAACATGCCAATAATATTATTTACAAAATGTGAAATGTTAGGAGGTTATCGCAGGAAAGCGTTGAAAACTCTACACGCTTCCCCTCGGCTCTCCTATTGCTTAAAAGATAAAAGCAATTAATATTCGTCAAGAGAGTCTTCAAAATTAACCATAATGCTGAGTCAATTTTGCTGTCATTTGACGATTCTAATTATTTCCAAATGGTTTAAAGTATTAAAAAGCCACTATACTACATAATTTCCATACATTTTTTCTTTATAGATTTGATGAGCGCATAATTAGTAATTATATAATCTTTTTTATTGAATTGTGCTCAAAGTGAGAGGGCTAGTTAGGCAGACGTTCTTTAACAAGTAAAGAGACAATTAAAATATTGTCAAGAAGTTTTCGATTTGTCGTTTCGTATTTTGTGTTAAACACTTTGTATAAAACAATAGTTAAAGAAAATGTTACACGTCGGCTATTCAGACGGCGGACAAAGAATATACATGCCATCGCTTTCTAGTTCATTCAATTCATTCATTTGAATGAAAGCGCATTTAATTTGCGAGTCATCACTGCAAAACATCACTGTAGGGAAATTCTACTCTTAGAAAATGACATTCATTCCGCGCAATAGAAGTAAAAAAGAATCACGCTTGGGTGAGATCCGGAGCAGAGCGTCGACTTATGCAGAGCATTACGCTACCGGCGACGTGCGAAAGGACGCGTGCGCATTTAAAAAGATCCTCTCGAAGGACGACAGCTATACATTATCCCGAGACTATAGGACCGCTCTCTCGCTTTCGCTGCGTCGACACGCCTGGTATGCATGGTAACTATCAGAGATTCGAGCGAGAGAGCGAGCGAATGAGCGGGCTTATTCTCTGCCTTCATACTCCTCTCTCGAGCGCAAATTCTCTGCCTGTTGTTTACCGGATATTAAACGCCGCGTTATTATCCGACGTATGCATGCGGACGCGTTGAGCGGAGGAGCATGCTGGGCGCGTGCGATGTCATTAGCATCGTTAATATCAATGGCTCTTTTCTCATGAATGTCAAGCCAACTGGCGAGAGAATCGAACTGCGCGTTTGTGGATCTTGAACAAACACACAAGGCGTCAATTCTGCATCGAGCAACACGAAAAAGATACTCCTGACAAGAAGAAAAATGTATTCTTATTATGCGATATTATTCCTCTTTGTCTCTCTACTTTTTTTTTTAGGATAATAGCTCTCGGCAAATGTTAAGTTACCGTGACTAACGTGGTTACGTAAAGCAATTTGTTATACGACAAAAACGGCAAGCTCAGTTTGGCTGGCAATGCCGACAGCGATTTTCACGGGTCACCTTTCATTCTGCGATAAAGTGGAACGCGGATTTCGTCAGAGAGACGAGAGGCACACGATCACACGTGGGAGAGAGAAAAGATCACACAAGTGCAAAGATGTATGATATTTTACTTACGCTTCGCAGTACGGCTGTTTGTTGAAACCCTTGTATGTGCGCATATTCAGGGTCATACTGCAACCCTGACACTTGAAACATTGTTTGTGCCATATCTGTAACAAGGAAAGATCCACTATTAGCATTCCAGATGGATTTGTCAATCTCACATAAATAAAAAACAAAGTGAAACGAACGGAGAATCCGAAAAATAAATCATGTGACACGGTTATTTAATTTAAGCAACACGTAATCCGCATTGTATGAGTCACGATCCGATATCATACCATATGTAGCATGTTTCATCATTAAAGTTTTCAGCGATTATGTTGACGAATGTTGCAAACATTTCTATAAATATTAAATATTGTTCTTTAACCGTGAAACTTTAGTTCGATGCGCTAAAAATATACTTCGATTAATATCGCTAAAAATGTAAGAAGACAAAAATCAATTATTCGATAAAATTATAAATTCTCCTAATAATTCCGCGCCAGATAGATAAGAGAAGATCTTAGTGATCTTTTTCTCATATATTCTTAGATATCATAAATGAAATCACTCTACAAATCACTATCAACGATCTCCTTTGTACTTCGTTTCACGAAATAATCACGTGCCAATAATTGTATACCTCAACTTCTCTCGCAGAGTTAACTATAAGAAGTCGACAACAAATACGATCGTTTAATATCCAAGATTAGATCCTCCAGACGGCTAATGAGATTAAAAGTGCACTTATTATAACCTTCTTCTCTCCTTCCTGTCGCAAGGACGAAGAGGCTAAGCGGCATTTAGTTAGATCTCGAACCGGCTGTCACAATCAACCCTGCACTACGTTATACTCGATTTGTCATTGACAAATAGAGTACGTGACATTCGTGTTACACTTGTAACGAGCATTGACCAAATATGTCTGCCGCAATCTAGCAGCTGTGCGTAATCATTCTGCCATAATCTTTCTCACGAACTATGTTAAGATGTTCCGAACGAGAATAGTGAAGCGTTATTACGAAGTTTACGGTAAGATTGGATTGCTAATACCAGTTTGCCTAACGTTCTTGCACCGCAATTTAACTCTGCATTTATGCTCTATAATAATCTTTCTAACAAGTAAAATATCAAACGTCGAATGACAGATGCGATAAATTACACTTTATTTAGTAATTAATATTGTAAGTTGTTCGTAATAATAATTACGAAATATATACTGATCATTTTTCTTTTTTTAATATGTAAAATAGTAAATTCTTGCTTGCGGATATTACATATTTTAATTCTTCGTAAAATTTTTGATAATTATATTTTAATATGTTTGTCAATAATTTATTATTGTAACTATTTTCTGTTATTTTAAATAATATATTAGAAAAATCATATATTAAATCTAATATTTTATTATACTTGTAAATTCTATGAAATTTCCTCGATATTTTTAATCACAATATTATTTTATCACAATATTAATCGTTTGCGAAATAAAAAAGTTCCCGATGGTTGAAGTTACGGTTACACTTCTAATTGTGAAAAGTTTAGACTTGAGCTGATATAAAGCTGTATTGTTATAAAGAGATAAAATTAAGACGATTGCTGCAGATGTATGGGTTGTTAGAGATTCTCTGGAATAATAAGCTTTGTTTTAACTGGACAAAGCACATGTACAGCTTGATTCATCGCAGTCACATATTAAGCTAATCCGTACAATCGAAGGTCATCGCAGTCGTCTCGAGATCCCCGACAATCGGCAAGGCCGTTCTCAGGAATCGACAAAGGTTACAGATCGCGAGAGAACGTAATCACTGACAATCTGATCTTGATAGTCTCGGAATATGTGACTCATTACATAAAATGAGTCAATTTCGCAACTTCCTTATTACGCTCCATGTTGGAGAACGGCAGAAATAGCAACCTTCGAACTGTTAGATATCGTTTTGCGTAATAGCGATAAATTACTGCTCAATGCAACAAAAATACGGATAATATTAAAAAAAGGTTTCGAAGTCACTTTACGCTCATTAGTTGCTTTTCCACTCATTTTACAATCGCTAGCCCGCGATTTTCTCATAGAACTTCCTTCGTTGCAAAATAACATTGAAGACAGGAAGTTGAAAGGCACGGCACAACGTGCTTTAATGATTCTTTCAAAAGCCACTTATGTTAGAAAATAATTGTGGGGACAAAATAAAGCGGATCTCTAAAGCAATCTTGTGAGGCTAAATTTTGCATCGATAACAAAAAGTTTCATAATATTCTATTCGCGCTCTCGTGGCAAATGATTTATTGCGAAAATTTCGCAAGCAACCAGTTAGTTGCTGCGTAGAACCATGACTGTTTCAGAACAAAGCCAGATTATTTATAATGTTTTAAATTTATATCAATATACAAGTTAATAAATTATACAATTTACTTCGCATGATTTAAAATTTTCGTGCCGTTATTGACAATCGCCATGGATATATGGATTGTGCTTATTATCGTTATCAAATAAATCAAAGAAAATTTCTAGATCTGTCGAAAGATCGGAACTACCGAAAACGTTTGACTGCCTAATCGTAACTGCCTTTTCAAGTTTTGAAAAGTTATCTTAAAGAAGAGAAAAACATGATCGTTTACTGACAAAATATGTAAAAGTAGAATAATTATTTTTTAAATAATCTCAATTGGCCAGTAATTACGCGATAACTTGAGCATTTATCTTATCTTTAAAAAGACGTAAGACAGAGATGACAAACAAACGTCACTCCGCCGCGACGTTACAACATCAAAACATCGTAAAGAAAAAGTTTCATCGAATAACTGAAACTTGCTCTTAATTCCGCGAAATGTAGGCGAAACGGAGAGAAAGAGAATGATCGTATTAAATAAAACATCGTCTACGGAATTTCTTTTTCAAAGCGCGGCACGTTTCGGCTTCTAGACGGCGGCGGATCAGGTCGCCGATGTCAATTCACGGGACGATGCCGGAATGCGGCTGCCAATGAATGCAACGGTACCTTATTTGTATCGTGGGACTATTATTAATCACGGACACGACATTGTCCTCCGCTTTCGATTCGCAAAAAATATATTGCACAAACGACGTTTCAGACGATACAACCGTTCTCTTTTTCTGTGACGTTTTACGGAATTAAGGACAAAAGTTTCACTGTTCGATGAAATTATTTTCTTCACGATGTTTTGATCTTGTAATATACTGACATGGTTAAAGTCACGTTTGTGTGTATTGTGTTTCTCGCCTTTATTTATCTTACATAATTGCTACAAGAAGCACGTATTGTATTGTTGGATTCGATTGAAACATCGATCATTTTACCTGCTCACAATTAGAAATTGATTTCACGTTTTACTGCCGCATTCGTGTTTGGTATGTTGCAATTAGGATTTATATGTTCAAAAAAAGTTATAAAGACGCCAAAACTAATGACTCAAGAAAAAAACGAATAAACGCAAAGATAAAAGATATTTATAGAAAATTTAAAGCGCGTTTCAGAAACACATAAATAATTGTTATGAATCTGCCATATTGTTAGTATTTTGCTGGAAGTGCTCTTTAAATTTTCTATAAAAATCAAATTTACTGTCAATTTACCAACATTTGACTATCTAATTCTTCTTGTTCTTAGAGAACTAGAAGTATATAAATCTTTTTAAAATCTTGTTTTTAATTTATAAGATTATAATATATAAAGCAGTCTGATAATGCAGTTTCGATAAGAAATCTGTACAAAGAAAATAATCGTAGGTTTTCTTGACCAAATACTTTCACCCGATTTCGGAATGCTTTTCGTCCGTATGCAAGGCTCTTGTTTCGCAAGTTATCGTATTTATAGTCGCTGTATGTAAGTACAGTGTCCTGGATTAAGAAGAGAGCGGTCTGCATACGGCAAAACCTGCTCGACGATACGCTGGAATATGACCTTAATTATGCGCTTAGGTGAAAAGCGATTTAATATTTCGATAAGGAAATCGCAGGAAAACTCGAAATTTCAATAATGATTGCGCTCTTTAACGCCTGCATATTTTTCCACCGTTGACGCTTTGCGAGTTACATCTTGATGATTTTTTGGCGCCACACAAATTTCGGTACTAATTAAGAATAGAACACACTATAATTGCATAAATAATTTGTTTTGAAAAAAATATCTATTTTATTATTTTCATAATAAACATTCGAGACTCTATTTTCCTGGTGCTTTAAGAAATTGACGAGCTGTTAAAATTTGTCATAGAGAATTTAAAGAAGAAGACATAATATCAACAGTACGAAAAAATACATTTTCGCTTAAAAGCCGAGGAAGAACAGCGCTTAAACCAACACTGTTATCGAAAGTGAAAGTTCGGCCAGTGAATTGTCGAGGTAAGTGGCGGTTGGTGGAACAATGACAACCGGGTGATTTCGTGTAACTTTCTTAACAAGCTAAATATTGAACGTATTATACGGCAGAGGCTCGAATACAAATTATACCTAATTTAATTATTGCTCAAAGAGGAAATAAAATCGACTTATGACATTTTGTATTACGCAATCTAATGCAAAGATATAATTATTTGCACTCTATCTCTCAAACGCACACTCTCACTCACGCCACCTAACCAGGTCCTCAATGCAAAGATATAAAGGGAGATATTAAGCAATTAAATATGATCTCGAGTATCTATGTCTTATCTGATCTTGTCTGATTAAAATTTAAGTATCACTGCATTAGTTATCGCGCGCGTGTATTAATAAAACCGCACTATTGCTGGATTGTGCCGTGTTCTCTGCTTATTAATGCGATTCTTGATAAAACGTACGTCACAACATTAAAATACATTAAAATTGATTTATAAACGTGTTAATAGCAAAAAAACTTGTTAATCTAAGAATAGTCTCGTTTTTTTCCGCTCGTTTAAGAAATCACGTACATAATCGTTATATTCACGCCTTCGCAATTGACGATGAGAAACAACCGGATGCCGCACCGCATCGTTGGCATAGCAGGAATATTTAATGACTGACGACCAACGGATCCAGAAAAACGAGAAATCAGGCCGTTTAATCGAATTGCGGTTAATAGAACGTAAAGAGCATTCCAAATAAATCGAGAACCAAAAGTTTAGCCGCGATAAATTTCAC